CTCTCGATGCACTTGGGTTTTTCTAATGAAGAACCGTTTTGAATTATTTGATGTGTTTCAAAAATTCTACAATGAAATTGTGAATCAATTTGGGGCATCTCTCAAAATCTTACGCAGTGATAATGCAAGAGAATATTTTTCTGACCCTTTCACTTCTTTCTTTTCCTCAAATGGAATACTTCATGAATCATCATGTGCTAGAACTCCTCAACAGAATGGAGTGGCTGAACGAAAAATTCGTCATCTTGTTGAAACAGCTCGTACTTTGCTTATTCATAACAAGGTACCTAAGAATTTTTGGGGGCATGCTATACTTCACTCTTGCTATCTCATAAATCGTATGCCTTCCTCTGTTTTGCAAGGAAAAATTCCTCTTCATATCTTACGTCCACAGGAACCTCTCCATAAGCTTCCATTGCGAATCTTTGGGTGTACTTGCTTTGTTCATAATACTTCTCCAGGGCGTGATAAACTTGATGCCAAGGCAATAAAATGTGTTTTCCTTGGGTATTCTCGCCTCCAAAAAGGCTTTAAGTGTTACTGTCCTAGAACACACCGGTTTTATACCTCTTCCGATGTTACCTTTTTTGAAACAACACCTTTTTTCTCTTCCACCTCCGTTGAGTCTAATTTCCTAGGGGAACCCATTGAAATCACAGAAATTCTCCCTGTTCCTACTTTCTCAGAACCTATATCTCCCACTGTTCCTGAAAGGACCATACCTATTCTTGAAAGAACTATTCCAACTCCAACCATTCAAGAGGAAGGACATATTCCACCGTTGTTGTACACCTACCAACGACGCAATCGTCAAGATTCCCAAGAGGATAGACATCCAGTTGAGTCATGTTCTACATCATTGTTACCCAATGATGCTGCCCAAAACACCACGACAGACTCTCCCATTGCCAGTCGGGTAGGTAAAAGATCCACTCGAAATCCTTACCCTATCTATAATTTCCTTTCACAAAAACGTCTGTCTCCATCATATTGTGCCTTCATTGCTAGTTTGTCAACTGCTTTTGTTCCAAACAATGTCAAGGAGGCATTAACTAATCCAGGGTGGACTCAAGCAATGGTTGATGAAATGAATGCACTACATTCTTCCGGGACTTGGGAGTTAGTACCTTTACCTCCTGGTAAAACTGTGGTTGGTTGTAGATGGGTGTATAATGTGAAGGTTGGTCCAGATGGACAAGTTGATAGACTCAAAGCTCGACTTGTGGCTAAAGGATACACACAGGTTTTTGGCATTGACTACACGGATACCTTCTCACCGGTGGCCAAGATCACTTCTATTCGCCTCTTACTCTCAATGGCAGCCAACCATCACTGGCCACTGTATCAGTTGGATATAAAGAATGCCTTCTTACATGGGGATCTGAATGAGGAAGTGTATATGGAGCAGCCACCTGGATTTGTGGCTAAGACAGGAGCTAATCTTGTTTGTCGTCTTAAGCGCTCTCTCTATGGGTTGAAGCAATCTCCACGTGCCTGGTTTGGGAGATTTAGAGATGTGATCCAACAATTTGGCATGATTCAAAGCAAGGCTGACCATTCTGTTTTCTATAAACATCTACTTGGAAAAAGTATATATCTTGTGGTTTATGTTGATGATATTGTCATTACAGGGAATGATAGTGAAGGAATAAATCAGCTTAAGAAACATTTGTTTCAACATTTCGAGACAAAGGATCTTGGAAAATTGAAATATTTTCTTGGTATTGAAGTTGCTCAATCCAAACAAGGTATCTATGTGTCTCAACGAAAATATGTTTTGGATATTCTTGAAGAAACAGGAATGACAAATTGCAAACCAGTTGACACACCCATGGATCCAAATGTCAAACTTCTTCCAAGACAGGGGGAGCTCCTATCCAATTCAAGTAAGTATCGGAGATTAGTTGGCAAGCTATTGTACTTGACTATCACTCGACCGGACATCTCCTTTGCTGTAAGTGTAGTTAGCCAATTTTTGCAAGAGCCATGTCAAAGTCATTGGGATGCAGCCGTCAGAATATTGAGATATGTGAAAAGGTCTCCAGGTACAGGGTTGCTCTATAAAGATCATGGACATACAGAAATTGTTGGCTATACAGATGCAGATTGGGCTGGATGTCCTTGGGATAGGAGATCAACATCAGGATATTGTATTCTATTTGGAGGTAATCTTGTCTCTTGGAAAAGTAAGAAACAAGATGTGGTTGCACGCTCAAGCGCAGAAGCTGAATACCAAGCAATGGCACTTGGAATATGTGAGCTAATTTGGGTTAAACAACTTCTTACAGAACTCAATTTCTATAAGCATGGTCCTATGAAATTAATTTGTGATAATCAAGCAGCGCTCCACATTGCGTCTAATCCTGTCTACCATGAAAGGACTAAACATATTGAGGTTGATTGCCACTTTATACGAGAGAAGGTCGCATCCGGAGACATTGTTACCACATTTGTTGGGTCAAATGATCAACTTGCTGATGTTCTCACCAAATCTCTCCGTGGACCTAGGATTGAATACATTTGTAGCAAGCTGGGAGCTTTTGATTTATACGCTCCAGCTTGAGGGGGAGTGTTGGAATATTAAAAGTCTTGGGCAGCTCACTAGCCTTAGTAATTAAATGGGCAGCTCACAAGCCTCAGTAATTAAAGCCTTGGGGAGATGAGTAGTTTCTTTATTTATTATTGTTTACTTTTGTAGACCTATATATAGACTTGTAACTTGAAGTTAGATACAATACAAGAACCCTTTCTAGCTTTTAACACATATGATTTAATGCCGTATGCTGTTGCTGGCAAAATGACTGAGATAACAGTTTATGACAATGCAATTTTCTAGATTATTTAAAGAAACATAAAAAGGGAGTAGTGGGAAAAATCTCATAATGACCAAGTTGCAAGATGTGGCATACTGTATCTTACTTGCATGCTTTTAATTGCTGTACCTAATTCTCTGACTGTTGGCTAATTACATCTGTAGGGTGAGGATATCCAATGGTCATTAATTCTTGCTGGCACATAATTCTACAGTAAATAGACAGCCTTGATTCCAGCTAATGCACCTTCAGGCTTTTGAGCCATCTTTTCTTTATCAATTTTCACACAATAACTGGCTAAAGAAGTGAATGTCTTTTCGTGTTGATCAATTTGCTGAGAAGGAAAATTTCAAGATTATTCACTTGAGTTTAACATTCCATTCACCTGATTTAAGACTTTCTTTGAGTTCAGTGTCTTAATCTTTTAGGTGTTTTGCTTCTTTCCATATCTTGATGATCTCGTCTTTTCTTAAATTATATTTACATACTGTGTTTAATTACATTCTAGGGTCTAAATGTCTTTCGATTTGCTAACCGGATTCCCCTTCTATTCGAGCAAGGAGCTGATGTTGTTACCCGAACTGCTATGAAAAGGATCAAGTAAAATTTACAGTCTACTATTATGCTGCTTAATTCTAGTTTCTCAAAAGATGTTGCTAGTTCACTGTTTGTTCTCTGAAATATGGGGCAGTTCTTTTTGTTTGCCTCTTAAATTTGGTTGGAACTGCAGAGGGCCAAACTAAATAGCCTCTTTTCAGTTGGAACAGTTACAAGATCAACCAGGCACAAGACAAAATTGGCATCTTTGTCAGCATTGTAAGTACCAAAATTCCTTTTAAAGGGACTGGCAAGGAATACATTGGAGATGACATAAGCGAGATAGCTTCTGCTGTGAAGGTAGCTTTTTCATGGTTACGATGCATAACTCATATAAGAGTTTTCCAGTCTTAACCATGTTACTTTTTTTTTTCCAGACAGCCATTCGGCAGTGTTGCAGTCAGCTGAAATCCAAAATTGTAAAAAGAATACAAGCTCGAGAGCAGCAGGAGAGAAAGCGTAATTTGAGCAGGTATGATTGATCCACTCGGGAGTCGGGAAGAAGTAATAATATGAGAGTCTTTAAACAAACCCAAAACTAATTGTATACTTTACAGGTACATCCCTAATGCTTCAAATGCTATATTTGACGTACTCAAAGATATGGCAAACCAACATGCATCCAAAAAGAAGCGCTTTGAGGGTGAGGATGCAGATTTACTGAAACAAGTTTCAGTTAATTCAGTAACAAGAGAAACTCTGAAAGAAAAGCTTGCCCAGCATGTTGAAAAGGTGAGTTTGGATGTGCACACCATGTCGTATGTAGTATAGTATGCATGTTCCAGCCAAACCCATTCTTAAACAGAACAATGGAACAAGCACACACATGGATGGAACTGCTTGCAGCTATATTTCAACAGAAATTTAAAATCTACCCTACAACTTGCAACCACTATTGTCTGTTTTCTTATTTTCATGGATTTACCCACATTGTAAACAAAGAAAGTGTCATACTTCTTTGGGAGTTATCTGATGCTTGTTGAAAATATTTTGCAGGTTGACTATGAGATGGCCCTGGAATATGCCACACAGACCGGGGTAAAGGAAGAACCCCGAGAAGACATTTACTTGCAAGCGCTAAGCGATGATAAAAGGTTCACCGACTTCAATAGCCCCATATTTATCTTTAGACTCTTTCATTAAGATTTATACACGCCTTACTTTCCCAGTCCATCACTGAATTATGATTATACCAACTTCATTTGGGAGTTACAATTTGCTTGTACCGAATATACAGTAGAAATTTGAGAGAATTAAATTAGTGGCCATAAACGTTGGTACTATAAGTCTATAAAGGATCTGTTCTTACAAATTACTGTATCTTGTTTATGAAATAGTCATGAATAATTTTATGTCAAGTAATACACGTTCAGTTGAATATCTTAAATAGCATTCCCTTCTATCATATACATATTCCATTTCCTTTGGTATAATGCATGCAGGTTTATAATGATAATGTATATAATGAACATATAGTTTATTTTGATTAATATCTAGTTCAATTCAAATGGACACAATTTATTAGGAACCTATACCTCATGACTTTGCATTACAGCACATATTTTTTGCTTATTATTCTCACTAATGCTGTGATTCATAAGATTAGAACTTTATTTCATAGTACATAGCTTCCATACATGCAATATTAACACTGATGTCAGAAGTTTCAACTTTCTGCCAAGACTACAAGGCTGTCCATAATGCAATGGAGACTCTTTTGAAGTGCACTTTGTGTTTAACAAAGTTGTACTCTCCTCCTAAGCACGGGACATCGTAAAATTCTTCTCTTATTATTTATTTGATAATCTCTTCCTTCATGGCTAGTGACAGTGCTCCAAGGCTACCTCCACTATCTATGGTTGCTCCAGGCATTGCCACAGCTCTACTGCCCACAAATCCTCCATTCTTAACACTAATCCTCCCATACTTCACTTCCCCTCCACCTTCATATATGTGGCCAAAAAGCAAAGCTTCCCTTCCCACACTTCCATACTCTTCAATTCTCACCATGTCGGGATTCAAAGTAGCTCCCATGCTGTCAATATATACTCCATCCCGAGCCACTTCTGAGCCCATCAATCTCATCCAAATCCCCATCAGAAAAGTCCCGGTCGCTGTTTCCATGAAGTATTCTCCCGTCACTGTCCTTATGGCTTGCCATATGGTGTCCATGAAGATTCCTCTGCTCCAGATTGGCTCAGTCTTCCCTTTGTACTTCTTTCCGACCAGTACCCATTTGCTCAGAGCACATACAAGCCCTGCTAAGATTCCCGACCCGCCCCACCATAGAGGGAGTAGCCACTGTTTCTGTATCTGTGTCATCTCATGAGTGTAGAATAGGCAGTTAAGCGGGGCGTAGATCACTAACCCAAGGAGGAAGTATGGAAGAACGATTTGGAGAAACGGTTGCCCTGACATTAGCCATAACGTCACGTACCATTGTCTTGCCAGTGTTGCCTTAGGCATATCCTTATTCTCGAGTTTTGCTGCCAAAGGGCAGCCTGAGAGGTCAAGTTTTACGTCCGATTGATCTAAGAAGATCCTCCATGCCTCTGGGAGAGGCTTTCTGTTCCTCAGATATTGGCATATTTCGTAAACCAGTGAACGCCCATGATCGATTGATGCACTCTGGTTGCACGAAGTAGCTCTGATGACATCTATTTCATTACACCTGAAGAATGGATTAAACTCGAGCTCTTCTGATTCTTTTTCTGTGAGGACTTGATCTATAGTTATCTCCCCAACCTCAATGTATGGAACTTCTTTCTCATCCCATGGCTTTGTACAATCTAGTAGAGTCTCGCGTACCCTTTCATCGTCTGGAATTGGTTGGATTTGCAGCTGAAGAACATAACGGACCTTGTCTGGAGAACTCACGCGAAATTTGAAATCTTCAGCTAGGAAAAGCAGTGGGCGTTTGTCATTCTCGTCTCTTGGAATAGCACCGGTTTCTGGAGGAAGTATACCTCTAGGCTCTACCTCCCCATATTCCTCACCAATCTTCTCATCAAAAGGCCTTAACTTGAACCTAACATACATTTCCTGCCCATCTTTAAACCTGAAAAGCCTGCAAATATTCGAGTAATAATGCAGCTCGGTGTAGGAATTCGGTCTTCTCAGTGATCCCCACATCGCATCACGAATGTGTGGAGCATGCTTCACGTGCTCTTCTCGAGCAGCCGCTCCACAAACGAGCCATGTAGCAAAGTCGCCTATAGTACGGGCATGAAAAGCCTTCCCCGTCTTCAGTGTCAGATCAAGTAGTGGAGTAGTAGTAGTAGTAGTAGTTCTCTCGTGTGGTAGGATCCTTATTGCTGCACCACGGGGATCGAGCCTTGCATCGTCATCAGAACTCAAGCAATTGCTGTGCCGGATAATGACAGGATAGGTAGCACCCGGACCGAAAATCTTGTGATCTGGCAAACCGGGCAAGACGTTGTAGAGCCTTAAGGATCCCTTGCCTGCAGCACCAATTCGATGGAAGTACCTCGATTTCAGCTTAAGGGTCGAGGCTGCCAAGTTCGCTGCAAGGCTACCAAGAACCTTCTTGTACTTGGGGTCCATCTCTTCGATCCTGTCATCCAAGGGGAGCGTCTGGTTTCTCACCATAACCAGATTTTCAGAGCCAACAAAAGTTCCACAACACTCGAGAACAGAATTCAGTGGAGCAACAGAGAGTGCCCCGAGAATAACATCTTTCTCGATGAAAGAACCGGGGAGGATCAAGCCCTGACTTCCTATAACCGAGTTTTCTCGAATGTCAATTCTCCCAGAGATATACCCACCTGTGGTGTGATACCCGGGCACAATTCTGCTAAAATCTCCAAGATGCACCCCATCTGCAACTGAAACCAGACCTGGTTCCACGACAGGGTTAATGGCTCTTATCGAACAATGCTGCCCAATTTTCGCACCCATCCAATGTAAATAAACACAGAACAGTTCTGTTCCTGAAAGAAGTTTAGCAAACCTTATGTGACATGCAACATTCATTCGATGGAGAATCCATTTTTCTCGAGTCATTTTGTCTGTGTCTCCTTTTCGAGAAACAAAATGGTTTAACATAAACGTGAAGACGCTCAAGATGAGACCATGAGCAGTGTAACCTGCAGCCACCATCCCAGCAAAGCTTAGTGTGCTTACTGGCAAACTGGTGAACATGGCTGTGAAAGTGATGATAATGTATGGAAACCAATGAAAAGCTCCGGCAATGCAAATGAACAAAAAATGATGAAGGGAAGGAGGTTTTTGCAGTAACCAAATCCAGACGAGATAAGCAATAGCTGCTGATAAACTGTTAAGGTAACCAATCATGTAGATCCCAAAGAGTTGAAATACGGAGTTATGGTTTCCATGATTTCTCTTCCTGATCCGTCGAGTTACTTTTCCCTGTCAACATGGTAGGAATTAGGGCGATTTTGGAGCAAAAGAAAATGAAATTTAGAATTTATTATCTCTAACCTTGTGGCCATTTAGTGGCTTCGAAATTTTAGCTGCAGCTTTTTTATTCTGGGCAAGAACTTCAGCTCCATCTCCAACTATGCTCCCTTTCTGAAGTACAGCATAAGGACCAATCGATGATCTTTTGCCAATCCTTACAACACTAAAGCTCAAGACCCCGTTTTTAACCTCGTGGCTTTGAATCAATGCTCCTTCACTGATCACACTTTCTTCATCGATTGAAACTAACAACGGGTCAGTTATGTCGACTGTGTCAATAAGAGCAGAAGAAGCGATTTTGGCTCCCAGAATCTTAAACCAGTAATTGAGGAAAACCGTTCCTCTCAGATGCACTGCAAGAACTTTCGAGGATATCTCTTGAGCCTTATAAAGTGCCCACCACTTTACGAACTCAACTGACCACACAGAGATCTCGGGGTTGAGCACATAGTTTGGCTGAAGAAGTGCATTGCCTAGAAGCCTTGTGCAAATACACGTTAAGAAGATGCATAGCATCCAAGAAAAAGGCGCACATGCAAGGGAAATGAAGTAGAAAAACCAAGGTGATTGGTTTGCCAAGATCAGTGGTTTAAACATAGAGACTGATATATAAGCAGGAATTATCAGCAAGAGAGAAACATAAGCGAGGGCCACGAGGTGAATTAACCAAATGGTGATCTTATCGAATGTTGAAACGACAGAAGGGATTCCAGATGAACTTATCTTTGTTTCACTTGAATTGGTGAGCATAGGATGATTCTTCTCCAAGAGACTTTCTACGAAATCAGCCAGGTCGTCGATGCAGGTTGCAGAAAAGATATCGATTGCCCCAATGTTGATTCCGAAAAAAGATGAAATCTTTTGAGCTGCCCGGACCACGCCAATTGAGTTGACACCATAAGACACCAGAGTTTCACCAGTGGAGATCTTGGAAACGGGAATTCCAGTCTGTTGAGAGAGCAGATCTTTCAAAAAATTTACAATGTCTGTCTTGCTGATTTTGCCATTTGCTGGAACTATGATTCCATCGTTTCTAGGCAATGATCTTTCTCCATTCATTTGCTCTTCTATTACGTCTAACGTCCCACTGATGAACCTTTTGGCACACTCGTATCGTTTGATTTTCCCCGATGTAGTTTTACTGATGGATCTTGGTTTGATAGCCACAATGGAAGCAATAGGAACACCGTGCTCTTCTGCAACACGAGTACAAATATGATCCATAACATCATACGGGAGAGGCTTTCCATCTCGAACTTCAGCAATCACAACCAATCCAAGTTCATCCGAAGCTCGTTGAGTCAATATCCCTTTCGAAACCAAAACATCCTCGGGAATTCCAACCACAGCACAGCAGCCAGGGCGCACAAGTTCAGATGAACTCTCGACTGTTTTCTCGATATCAGAGGTGTATATATTTTTCCCTGCAACTATTATTAGATCTTTTGTCCTCCCGGTTATGAATAATTTGCTATCAATGATTCTACCCAAATCTCCAGTTCTGATGTACCTTTTGCCCGGAGTGCTAAGAATATCATTTTCAAATGTCTTTTGGCTCAATTCTTCCAAGCCCCAATATCCAATTCCTGCACTCAAGCTACTGATCCAGATTTCTCCTTCTTTTCCAGGATCATCATTCTCCTTACCGGTTTCAGGAGAAATAATTTTGATGTCAACACCATCAGTATTTGGTTGTTTTATATACCCACAACAAACCCTCCCTTGCCAATCAACAAAAACCGGTAACCCTTCTCCATAGGCACAGCTTACAAACACACAATTCTCCGCCAAGCCATAACCCGGTGCCATTACTTCTCGGGAGAGTCCAAAACTTTGAGTCAACTCAACAAACCTTTTAAGAGTAGTTTGCCTTATTGGTTCAGCAGCACTCATGAGGAAATGCATCGAGGATAAATCGAAATTCTCCTCCTTGCTAGACTCTAATCTTCGCACGAGAAGCTCAAAGGCGAAATTGGGGGCAGCACTATGAGTAGCACGCCATTTACTCATTGTCTGCAGCCATAACAAAGGGTTCTTCATGAAAGTTACCGGAGAGAATAGTATTCCAGAGCCACCACTCACTAGAATAGTAAGAAGTCCCCCGATCAGTCCCATATCGTGGTATTGAGGGAGCCAGCTGACTAGAATAGTCCTCGATGTGCTCTTGTATCTTTTCCTCATCAACTTTACATTGTGGATAACACCTCCATGCGTGATCATTACTCCTTTAGGATCAGTCGTTGAGCCTGATGTGAACTGAAGAAAACATAAGTCCTCTGAGAGTGGCTGACCTTGTTCATCTTTGGGTTTCTTGAAAAGTTTGGGTTTCTTCACCCAGGAGTCAGTATGTAGCCATGGAAGATCCGGCCAGGAATTTGAGGACTTATCTTTGCTTTTACCAAATAACATATTTTTCGCTGACATGATACGAACAGTTACATGGTAGCTGAAGGTGGATAGTATAGCAACCGGATTGCATACTTTAGCGATGTTAGCAATGTGGAGAAGTGCTTGTCCACCGCCTCGTTGTGTTGGATCGGGAGGAATGGTGGGTATCGGGATGACTCTTGCTCTCAGGCACCCGAAAAAGGCATCTACGAAGTCAAGTCCAGGGACATAGATCAGGAGGACCTTATCGCCAGGCTTAATGGCTGGTTTCTGAGAAGTTAAGAGCTTCTGAGCAATAGTAAACGCATTTGTATGAACCTCCTTGTAAGTCCTTCTATCCAACACATCTCCTTTCTCATTGAGCCAAGTATAAAGGGTCTTGTTTTCTGTAACACCGAGCGTTCCCCAGTGCCTCAAATAGCTGTCAAGTGAAGAAAGCTCGGGAAATTTCACCCCAGGGATTTCGTCTAGTTGCTTGAAAGCTAAGCCTTCAGAACTCGACTTCAATGGAAATAGTCTCTGCAAATCCAAAGTATGTATAAAAATCAACCAAATGACTTTCTGCTAAACTTAAAATCATCTCATCTGAAGTTTTGTACCTTAACATATGGGAAAGTTGGAACAACCAAGTCATTTGCAAAATGCTTGCGAATTAGAGCCATGGAATACGATGCATTTCTCTCTGTCAACTCAAACGCCATAAGCCCGCCAACATAGTATGTGTTAAGCTGGCCTTGCAGTTGAGTCTCCAGCTTTTCGTAAAATCCATCTTTCATATCTGCTTCAGAATACTATATCAGAAGCCAAAGAGTAAAAAACGAAACATTATTTGCAGGCCGAGCTTTAGTGTACCTTGACAGTTGACATGAGGGAAGTATTTGAAGTGTCTCTGTAAAATAACCTTCTTGACTTGACCACCCATTTTTATGACAGCCTTTTTCGCAAGCTCCATTACCTCTGATCCTAAAATGTCGATAGAATTTCCATAAGACCAGAACAAGAAAACATTGGTGTCTGTGTAAAATTTCTGCATTGCAACAGGATTCCCAATTGCTGCTGGATCTTCCATGAAGTTCTCAAAGTAGTAGAAGCCCATTGGTAAGTGCTCCAATCCATCTATCTCCAACACAGATGTATAGTATTCAATTGTTTGTACTTTGCTGAACAGATCCTTTTCCAGTGTGCTCATATCCATTTTGTCACAAAACAATCCTGCACATATACAAAAATGAAGAAAAGATAGTTAAAATTCTTAGTTCCATGTGTTTGGATCAAACGTTTACCACTACGCCAAAAGCTATAGCTAGTAACAAAGGCGCAACTTTATTTCTTTATAGACTGCTGTTAAACAATAAACTCAAGTGTATATTTCTATATGTTCTGTGTGTCAATGTACAAGGAGGTATAGAGCTATTTATATTAGACAAGAACTAATCCTAGCCATAGGTTTCAAATACCTAAAACTTAGGCTAAGAGAGATCCTCTCAACTAACACCCTATTTCTCTAACACTCCCCCTCAAGTTGGAGCATCCAACTTGTTACATATGTATCACATGAACCATAGGACTCCACACCTAGACTCATAAGCCCAAGTCTTGAACCACTCAAACAACCTTCGAACCACGCTGTGCCAAACCAGTCCACAACGCACCTTGTCGCATCAACAATGCTCCTACGGAGCCAACAAAAACTAGGCCAATCACCACAGCGCCGCACCTGCCTCTCACTCCCCACACCCTTATCACCGCTGCCTAACACCACAGCGTACCTGCCTCACACTCCACAAATCCTTAGCGCTGCTAGACCACAGTGCACCTGTCCCTCTCACCATGCACCCTTATCAACGCTGCCTAACACTACAGCGTTTCCCTGGTGCATGTACGTAAACTGATTCACTCTGAATCACTCTTCAGCCGTCGGCCTCCCCCGCGGCATATGCCAGGTCCGCCCCACTCCTGCAACACCCCTGTTTACGCACACTGAACAAGCTGCACTTGACTCAACTCAGACCCTAGAATTGCTCCCATACCAAGTTAACTTAAAGCGACAAACTATGATAAACAAAATACAAAGCTCAAGACTTATTAATATGAATACGATAAACAAAAGAAAACTACTGCCTAATTATTCCTCAGCTTCGTGGACCTCAGACCACCCAGCTTCATGGACCTCCCCTATCACCTCTCTTGACTGTCTCTCTTTCTCGGCTGACACCAAACTGGTGAACAAACAGATCCTCGCTGCTGTCGTCGGAGGTTATGAACCCAAACCCCTCACTGAACCACTCGACGCAGCCCTCCATCCTCTGCTCACTCTCCTCAGCCATAATAAACAAAACAGACCAACCCGAAAACGCAGCAGTCCAAAAATGCAGCAGTCCACAACGCAGCAGTCCAAAAAATGCAGCAGTCCAACACGTAGCAGTCCAAAACGCAGTAGCCCTTCGCAACACCGGAGTACACCACCACTGCAGACGCGTTGGGTGTTCAGAGACGAGCCCAACGGTACCGGCCGCGACCGGAGAAGACGCCGGAGAACTGCCCACGCACCGGCGTGTGGCGTCGGAACCCTAGGACTGCGCCGGCGCGTGAGGACTCCGGTGGCTGCTCCGCCTCTCCCGCCGGCGTCGCCTCCTCTTTCTGACCAACACCCACTACCCAGTCACCTCAAGGCTCTGATACCATGTTAAACAATAAACTCAAGTGTATATTTCTATATGTTCTGTGTGTCAATGTACAAGGAGGTATAGAGCTATTTATATTAGACAAGAACTAATCCTAGCCATAGGTTTCAAATACCTAAAACTTAGGCTAAGAGAGATCCTCTCAACTAACACCCTATTTCTCTAACAACTGCCATCACATTTTCGTGACACTGGGTTCTGGTCTTGACCTTTTAAGCTCTTTATTGGCCTTCGCCCAACAATCCCCTAGCCACTGGATGTTAGACTTGGCCTTTACCGGCCTCTGCCCAACACCATGGTAGTAACAAAGGCGCAACTTTATTTCCTTACAGACTGCCATCACATTTTCGTGACACTGGGTTCTGGACTTGGCCTTTTAAGCCCTTTACTGGCCTCCGCCCAACAATCTCCCAGCCACCGGATGTTAGTTAGACTTGGCCTTTACCGGCCTCTGCCCAACACCATGGTAGTCCCAAATTTTCTCCTTTCCCTCCATTTCCATCATTAAATGTCAAATGAAGAAAAAATTTAAGAAAAAAAACCTGCTGTTTTTTGGGAAGGTGATCTATAAGTTCTCCCATTGTGAAAGGGAAAAGCACCCGAGATTATGATTTTATCAAACTCCATGGCCTGCAAAGCACCATTCCTATGCCTGACATCAACACAGACACCAGAGGAGTTGCGCTTGATCGATAGCACTTCAGTATTGCACTCAAACTTTATTGGCATGGCTTCGCTTAGCTTCTTCCAAACACTCGTATAACCTCCTTTAAAACGGCGGATCTTTCCTGCCATTGAGGTTCTGATGAATTCATGGATGTAAGCATAAGGCATATCCTGAATGAACCCATATCCAGAAGCTGTGTATCCATAAGCCACTGATTTTGGAACAGATTTCAACCCCTTATCCTTAAGAAACTCTGGAGTAACATCTGAGGCTATCTCACTCACAGAATATACTCCAATTCTGTTCGTCGCCTTCACCTCATCCTGCACACAAAAGATCATCAATATAATTGGAATTATATATGCAAGTTTCTAAGTATAAAAGAAGTAAGTAACAAATTACCTGGAGCTTCAAAGTTATTGGAATAACAGATATATAGTCTTCTGCAACTCTCATATCAGTATATGCCCAATCTGAGTCAACAAGAGCAAGTTTATGGGTGTCCATTTCCTCTATTTCAGCCCCAACTTCTTTTGCCAGGTGAAAGATGGTGGGAGCACTGTTTGCAGCAAGAACTTGACCTCCCAAATCATATGTTCTACCTGTGAGAGATGACAGTATATGTTTTCAGAACTTTGTTGTAGTAGAAAACATTTTTGAAATTTTGAAGAAGCTGGAGGGAGTGGATATATTTGCAACTCTTGCATTCTTTAACTTTGAACCCTTTCTAATTGATTTCATGTTTCTTTTTTTGTTTAATCAGTTCAGTGTGTCACTTTGAGAAATAAACAGCAGGGGAAATTCCAACCATGTTTGTTGGGTCATTGACTCGGTAACTACAAGGTTACAAATTCAACTCTAATAGGAACATTCTAATGGCCTTCCAACCAAGTCGGCATGGGGGTGGCCTCCTAGGGGTAACCAGTTAAGTTGGTTAGACTATTGAATCAGTAATCACAATGTTACAAGTTCGACTCTCAGTTAGAGCTGTCAAAAAGGGTAAGCCGGAATCGGTAATCACAATGTTACAAGTTCAACTATCAGTTAGAGCTGTCAAAACGGGTCAACCCAGTCCATACGGACGGGTCTGTCTTGGGTTCATCTAGAAATGGGCTAACCTGGCCCGGTCCATTTTTACACAGGTTGGGAAAATCCCAACCCGTGTTGGGCGGGCTGAAGTGCTAAACGGGCCAGCCCATTTATTTATTTTTTAATTTATATTGTTACATTTTTTTAACTTTTATATAACTTAGGAATCAAACCCCCACCTCTAAGTTAACAACTAACACTATTTCCAACCAAACACATCAAACTTTTTGAACAAATACCATGTATGTGTGTGTGTGTATTCAACTTGTTGAATCAGTAACCACAATGTTACAAGTTTGATTTTCAATTGTAGCGGCCTATAGACCTTCAAATAATGGCTATGAATTTCCCTCGTCATTCAAAAAAAAAAAAAAAAAAAAAAAAAAAAAAAAAAACCAAGAAACTGAAATGGCATACCTTGAATGTCAATGGACTCACACATGCCTCCTGCAGAATGATGCTTCTCCAAAACAGCGACATTAGAGTAACCAAGCTTAATGAGTGCATAAGCAGCAGAAAGTCCACTTGGGCCTGCACCCACTATGCCGATCCTGGTGGTTGTTGGCATGCATGGGTGCAGTTTTAAGAAAAGATCATCTACATCTACTCCTGACTCCATCTCCATTTCCTTGCAAATGGAGACAGAATCTCTATCTGTAAAATGTCAAAAAATAACTTTTTACTTCTCTATTCCATTATATTGCCATATTCCCTACTTTCTACTTTCAATCCATTATGTTAAAATGGTCCCGTGCTCTTGCTAATTGGTATTCAATGTTCCTTGCCAAAAACTACACTCATCAACGATGACTAATATAAATGTGCAATCCAACTACGATTTTTTTTTTCTTTTCTTTTTTTAAGGAGAGAAACTTACAATTACTATCTAAAAAAAAAATACATTAGGTAAATCAAACCTCTGCATTGTAACCCTACCTGACTTAAATATGTGTAATTTTGATATCAGCTTAGACTTTTAAATATCTATAATTTTGATTCCTTGTTAACTTCGTCATCACCTACTATTTTTTTATTTGGCATTTAATATCATATTACATTATACTATCACTAATTCTCTTTTTTTTTTTTTTTTTTTTTTTTTTAAATTACTAATTCTCTTCTATGTATTGTATTGCAAGGCAAATAAAAAATTAAAACGTAGGAGTAAAATGGCACATATTTAATTATATATTAAGAACTAATTTTGGTATTAGCAATTATCATAAACTAAAATGACGAGTTTATTACCTAAATGGTCCATCAACTATTACAAAATTATCAATTTGGTCCTCGACAATTTTTTGTGTTCAATTAAGTCCTCTATTTTAAAAATATAAATTTAACCAATTTGGTCATTTGGAAACCTAGAAAGTTTTCAAAAAAATTGACACAAATATCATTTTGTGAACACTATTTTAATTGATATAATAATAATAATAATATATTATTATTATTATTATTATTATTAAAAGGTTAGAAAATATTTTGCAATGAGTAAGTTAAAAATAATAAATAGTTAATAGTTACTAAATTAAAGTTTGTACATAAATAAAAGAAAAAGTAAAAAGTGAAAAATGACAACTTTAGAAATATCTTATCATTGTACAAGGTATAAATTAAATCAAAATGTACAAGTTATAAATTCACATTATTATGCCAAGATAGTTTGTATTCTTGTTATAACATTACTAACGTTGACTCTTATTATTTTACTAGTTTTTTATGCGTTTATGCGTGAATGGGATAATGTCAATAATTAATTTTAAATAAGTATTTTAAAGTATATCAATGCAATATTATATATGAGATGTTCATGCATAGGTAAATAAATGTTGAATTTGTTTATTTAAATCGGTAATTTAAAGTATATAAATGCAAGATAATATATGAGAGATTGATTATAATTGTCACTAAAATAAATGTTTGCAACTTTGTAATAACGCTAGTCTAAATACTTAGTCTAAAAGTGATAATCTAAATAAATACTACTTTTGATTTAAATTTCTTTAATTTTTCTTAATTCTCTTCTGGGTAGCATTATCATTATCTTTATCTTCAGTACATGTCCTCTTTTTTGTTTTTGTTTTGTTTTTTTTTTCTTTTTTTTTTGGTAGTGTGTCATGTGCAATTGGGTTACTGGTGGTAGCATAAACAATCGTTATGCTGTGGAACCGTATCCACCTTGCAAGGTGAATACGGTTCTATGTTCATAATTACAAAGTTATATATTCATAATTTTTTTTAACTTCATATTCATAATTTTTTTAAACTTCATATTCATAATTATTGAACTCTATATTCCCAATTACAGAACTCTATGTTCATAATTACTGAATTATATGTTCATAATTATAAAGTTATATATTCATAATTTTTGAACTTCATATTCACAATTATTCTTTTTAAAAAGTTGGGGCAAAAAATTTATTATCTAATCACTCTTATAGGAAAAATAATAATAATATTTCAAAATATCAATGAAAGTTTACAAAATTAATAGTTCACATATAACAACAATTGAGATTCTAATCATATGCACAAGAAAAACTTATGAATTCATATGTTACAATTTTTTATTTTTTTAAATATACATTTTTGAATGCTACTGGCTCTATTACATTGTAGTATCTACTCAAACATACTTTCTCAACCTATATTCACAATTATTGAATCTCTATATTCATAATTATGTTCACAACTCTTATGTTCGATCATAATTATAGAACTATATGTTCATAATTTTTGAACTATATATTCATAATTATGAACAGTTTTGAAACCGTGTCCACCTTGTAAGGTGAACACGGTTCCACAACATAATTTGCCTAGCATAGAGGGATACATCGTGCAATGAGATTATAGTGTAGGAAGCTTTAGATTTGCCTTGCTGTGTATATGATTGTGATCTTAGTTGTACTATGAACTCTTTATCTTACAAGCACCTATTGATATTGGTAGTGACAGTTTTTCCCCTATATGTTTCATGTGTTGTGAGATGTGTATGGTAGGTTATCATGTGAAAGTATTGAACAAAAATATTAATATTTATTATATTTGTATAAAATACTTGGTAAATAAATATATATAACATATTTTGTATTATAACTTTGATATTCAATTACAAGATAATGTAAAAATAAAATAAAATAAAATAACGGACAATGTAGTGAATATAATAAATTAATAAATTTGAAGGTAAGGAATCTTTGAATTGTAAAAAATAAAGATAATATAACTAATGAAATTATATCTCTTTTTAAATTTTTTCATAATGAATATTTAAAAAAAAAATAAAGGCATTATAGACATCTAATTCTAAATTAATTAAATATATATGTATTATTTTTTGTTGTAGCTACTAATTTATTTAATTTAATAGGAGTAATAAAGTGTCGTACATACTTTTCATCAACAATAATGAAATCATTGATTTTTTTTTTAATTTCCATTCGTTGTTGAGACAAATTGCTTTGAGAATTTGTCAATGACAATTGCTACAATTGCTAATAAATAATTCAAAATATATAGTCACAATAGACATTGTTATAATGATATAGTAAAAATTAAATTAACTTACAAATTTCTTTAGAAGTTTTCATGCATTGATAATATTTTGATTTGTAAACTTATTCAATTGGGGTCAGTGGGATGTCAACATTGTCAATTCTTGAAAAATGGTCGTACCGTTTTAGAGTCCAGGTGTAGTTGTATTTATGATCAACAACTTTGTAGTTAGGTCGCGCAGGTCTGAAAATGATCTAAGAACAATTTTGTCCGATAAAAAAATAATAGTATAATATTTGTAAAGTAATGTACAATTGTACCATTATGACCTAAATCATTAAAAATACATACAAAAATTATTAATACCATAATGACCTAACACTACTGGAAATTATGAAATTTCCGACCACCTGAAAGTGATCTTAAATCAAGTTGAAAGCCTTGTTCGGACCACTTTTGGTATCCGGAAAAACCTTTGTTGCTATTTTCGACCACTTTTTTGGTATCAACTTAATTTAAGATCACTTTCAGGTGGTCGGAAATTTCATAATTTCCAGTAGTGTAAATCATTCCAATAATGCAAAAGCATAATTGAAATATTAAGTTTTGTTCTAAATAATCAAAAGAAGATTAATTAAACGAAAAAAAAAAAAAACAAACAAACTTAATCTAAATTTGTTTTTTTTTTTTTAAATGCAAGAAAATCAAATGATTTTTAAAGTTCCTGATTTATAATCTTTGATGCTCAACTTTGAATGCTATGTATTTAGTCGGGCTAATTATTTTACCAAAGTTTATTATAAATTATTAAATTTATATTATATATATATTTTTATTACGTTATAACATATTCGTAGTATATGTTTAACAATTATGTCAACTCTAATTGGGATTGGGTTCGAACCTAATACCTTTTTATAGAAATTGATGAATAAGTTATTAAGAATAATAAATAGTTAATGGAATATTCTGTTACTAAAGTTTATACTAACGAAATTTAGGGTTATTTAATGAAAGAAAATAATATAATAGAGGATAAATAAAAAAAATTATTAAATAATATTAAAATCAAAATAATATGAACCATTCATTTTAAGAAATAATTACACCAATATTTTTTTATTTCAGTTAATAAGGGTCTAACATTATTGGTTCTTTTTTAGATTTGTATTGTTGATTTGTAGATTAGTAGATATGTATTCAGTAGTCTATATAATTGCATAATGATTGCCAACTTCATAACATAAGATCAAAGTTTATTTCAGTTTTAGTTTCTTGATTTTAATTGTTTTTTTTTTCAATATTTGATCTTTTTATTAAAAGATGTTTTACTTTTACATTTTTTTTTAGAAGAGTGACCAATGTTAAAATTAAAAGTGCATATTTTAATTAATTAAACATTAAATTAATTTAAGCTGATATTAAATTTGAAGATTAAGAGTAAAAATTAATAAGTTATGAACCAAATTAAAGTTGAAATTAACGTAATTAGTAGTATATAATGTAAACCATTTGAGTGGATTGAAAAGTAACAAATTTTAACAGAATAAAATGTATACTACTTAGATTAGACCTCTACATATGAGGATATGATACCTATATTTCTTCCAAATTTGTGGAAATCTTTAAAATAATAATAATAATAATAATAATAATAATAATAATAATAATAATAATAATAATAATAACTTTGAGGGTAAATAGTACTGTAATTTTATAAGTTGGTGCCTTTAAAATGTCTCCATATAGGTTATATAAAGGGAAACCAAAAACAAAAAATGAGAAATTTGAAAAAAGTATATATGGAATCTAAAAAAAAAAAAAAATTACAAGAAAACGATCATAAAATACTACTAATTAGTAATTACTACCAGAAATTAAGAATTTTAGTAATCCGTAATAAAGATCAGATGAAATATTTGTTCACATACACTGATATACACACCTTGGATTTAGTAGCGTTATTTGCGAGTTGTTATTAACAAATTTTGCGAAGATGTATGAGCTTAGTACTCCCCGTCTGAAGCTACAATATAATGTTTGGTTCTGAAATTGCAAACCAAAAAGCTAAGCTAAGCTAATTAAGCAAAATTAAAGCTACTGAACTTATATATATAGTCCAAGATCTGATGTGTATGTGAAATTAAAAAATATATTTTGTTTAATCTATCTAACTTGGGCTGCTAGCTAGCTAGTTGACTATTGGGAAATCGCTATCCTCAATTCCTCATTTCCTCAGTAGTGTATTGAATTGGAGGAATATTCAAAACGCTAAATTGTTCCGGATTAACGGTTACGTGACCACAACACAAAATCAAATGCGATAAAGTCAAAAGTCGGAAGATTAGAAATAAATTTACAATTAGTAATGAGCTGTTAGCGAATATTATATACTGAATTGTGTGCAAAGGATGTGGTCCGATGTCACAGGTTGTTCTCTTATATGAGAGGGATATTGACCTTTTGTGTTTCATTAAGTTAAGAAAATAACTATGAACAAATACTACATGTAATGGAGCCTGTAGTATTCAAAAAAAAATACTGAATTGTGTTATTAATTTTGACTAATGGATTGTATTAGTGATTTATACACAAATATTTTGTAAAATCAGTTGTTTATTAATTTTTTTTGTCAGACCATGAGGTGTCCTGAGCAGACCTTAACTATAGGTCGCCTAGATGACTACCTAGGCCGCCTAGTCCACGACGACCTACTCGGCGCCCAGGCGGCCGACCACCTAGAACGGCGATTTTGTCGCCCAAGCGCAATTTTTGCAACCTTGATTGTAGTTCAAAGAGTCAATACCACACCACCACGCTTCGATCTGGCCTGTGACATCCTCTCAAGGAGAATCATAGAGATGCTATTTGAGTACAATATGCTTGACAGACGCAAATTATGCCGTGGAAACATGTTCACCATGCTTGGTGAACACGGTCCTAAACGACATCGTTTTTACCAGAAAAAAAATTAGTTAAGATGTTGTTAACGGCGTTTTGCATTCTATGTTCATATTATGAATTTACATTTATTAAATTATGAATTTTCTATTATGAGATTATGAATTTACAGTTATGTAATTATGAATTTTTTGTACATTCATAATCTCATAACAGAAAATTCATAATCTCATAAAAGTTTTCTGTTATGAGATTATGAATTTAGAGTTATGTAATTATGAATTTTCTGTACATTCATAATCTCATAACAGAAAATTCATAATTTCATAACAAAAAATTCATAATCTCATAAAAGAAAATTCATAATTTTATAACTGCACATTCATAATTTATGAGTGTTGAAGAAACTTGCGCGAATAACAAGTAAAACTGCAAAATGTGAATATGAAGAAAAAAAGTCGCGTTGTTAATTAAAAAAACAAAAAAAAAAAACAAAACAAAAAAAAAGATTGGTGGAAGATAAGCACCGTTACCGTTTGGGACCGTGTTCACCATGAATGGTGAACACGGTTCCATGGCATAACGATTGCTTGACATAATGATTAGAATTTAGAAGTTTGTATTTAATTTTATGACTGGCTAAAAATAAAAAATAAAACAATACTCCGTAATATAAATTGAACTGAAAAATTTGTATTAGTCAATAGAAAAAAAATGACTAATTTTTACGTTAGAGATTACTTGTTCAAAATTGAAATAGTAAATGCATGCCAAATTAAATATTACAAAAACATATTATACTCTAATATCTTACTCGGAATAGCTATTCTCTTTGGTCTTTAACGTTAGATTAAGTTATTATATTTACAATTGTCAGTTGTTACTTAGATATGGTATACATTTACATTTAGTTATTTTATGTGTTTATTAATTATTAATTTTAGTCCGTCATTCATTATTTTTTTTAATTTTGAGTTAATTATCAAAATGGTCCCTTGACTATAGCGAAATTATCAATTTGATTCTTGACTATTTTTTTTTTGATCAATTAAGTCCCTTAACTTTAAAAATCTTAAGCAATTTGATCCTCCGTTAGTTTTGCCGTTAGACTTCTGTTAACTTGGGACCAAATTGATAATTTTGCTATAGTCAAGGAACCATTTCAGTAATTAACTTTAGGTTTGGGCAATTCGGTTCGGTTTTATTTTCTATTTTTTATTTTACTTCCCTTCCATGCATCCAATCTAATTCGAATATTTTTTAGACTAAATATTCAAAATATTTTTGAATTTAACAGAGAAAAATATATATAATTTTTGCTTTCAATTTTACTATATGAAATTTTAATATATAATAGAGTAAATACCCAAAATGGTCCATCGACTATAGCTAAATTCACAAATTGGTCTTTGACTTTCAATTTCAACCAATAAAGTCATTAACTTTATAATTTTAATACAATTTGGTCCTCTGTCTATTTGACCATTTGTTGACTGTGATTTTTGAGGATATATATGTAATTTCATGGTCCATCGTCGATTTTTTAAGGTTCTGGTTGCATTTCCAGACCGCACTGTTACATTTGAATCCACTGCCGAAAGCAATCTACCAAATCCGGTAGCCTTTCTTCATCCTCCCTTAGGATTCAATGTAGTTGAGTTCGTACCAGAGCGAAGAAGATGACGTGTTTCCGAACCAGTGCAACGTTATCCGGGAGGCCACCACGTGCTTCGACGAGAGCTGAAGGTTCTTCTGGAGATTGTCGATCACGGTCAACAAACGGTCAAATAGATGGAGGACCAAATCGTGTCAAAATTACAAAGTTAAGGACTTAATTGGTTGAAATTGAAAGTCGATGACCAATTTGTGAATTTAGCTATAGTCGAGGGACCATTTTGGGTATTATTTGGGCTATATGAAATTTTAATATATAATATTTGGGCTAAATTTACATTTTTCTTTTGAATGCTACTGACTCTATTACATTCTCAACCTAATAAAACACAAAGAGTCAACAACACCTCTACTGAGGTTCCGATATCATGACCTCCCACATAAGAGATGTCACTACATGCCATTTGAAAACAAGGTGTTTGGCGCTAAATTTACATTTAAATAGAACATAATTACAACTATCTAAACCCATAATAACCTATTGGATTCACAAAAAATCTAAAAATCAGTTCAAAATTTTTAATAAGATTTTTTTTTTTTTTTGGTGTACCTATGGTTTCCACCATCGGACACATTGATTAATCCCCTTACTGAATTGTAGGCATCTCTTTTGGGTGGGACAGCTAGCCTGAAAATTTAAGGCTACTCCATACCCAAAGCCAAGGATCGAACCCTTGAACTTTGGTTAAGGATGGATGAGTCCCTTACTTTTGGTTGGAGAACTATATACAATATAGGAAAAATGGTCAAATAGGCCACTGAATTGCACACCAAGTTGCAATTAGGCCATCGAACTAAAAAAAAAAAAAATACAATTGAGTCTCTGAACTACACAAATTCATGCAATTAGGTCTAAAATGACCTGTTTACCTAATACTTTGCTGACGTGGAGATTATGAATTTTAAAAATAATTTTAAACAAAAATTTAATTAAAAATTAAAAAAAAAAAAGGCCGGACATGTCATTTTAGACCTAATTGTATAAATTTGTGTAGTTAAGGGACTTTTTTTTTTTTTGTTTTTTTTTTTGAGTTCGATGTCCTAATTGTAGTTTGATGTGCAGTTCAGTGGCCTATTTGATCCTTATTCCTATAATATATAATATATGCATCAAAAGTTTATAATACATTGATACCCACATGGCCAAATGTATTTATATTCAAAGTATTAAGGTAAGAAATTAGAAGTTTAACTTCAATAACTAAAATATATGACTGGCCGAAAAATTCAATAACGGAAGATCGAATCTGACAAATTTTTATTAGTCAATAGAAAAATATGATTAATTTTTATGTCAGAGATTACATGTTGAAATAGTTAATATAATGACAAATTAAATTAAGCATAACAAAAAAAAATTATTTTTAAAAATTTAAAAATAACTTAATACCATGCCCATCCGAATAGCTATTGACGAAACAACTCTTTCCTTAAATAGTATTCTAGAAATAAAAATGACTTATCAAACAATATGAATATAGGATGTGTATACTCTCGAGAATGTTATTTCATTTACGAATTACTAAGAATTATAATTCATAAATAATCCACACTGAAACTCATCATGTAATCTTCAATAGAAATAACATACATACGTACCTAAATTAGCAGTATGATTCGATCCTGAACCTCAGGAAACGGATTAATTCCTGAAAATCTGAGAAACTCTTGGAGTAAGAGATGAGATTAAAGACAACAAATAATATCAATTTTTATTTTTATTTTTTTGGAAAATTTAAGAAAAAGAAAGGAAAAATGCTGAGAATCAGAATATTACATTATTGTGTTTGTTTTTGAAATCAGAATGAAGAAAAGCAGCGCATGCATATATATGGGAATTGGAAAATAAGGTGGTTTTGCTGGTAAGGAGACAAGTAGGCAAGTAGGTGGCCATGCAGCTGCCAAATGTTTCCATGCATGCAAATACGTTACAAATCATAAGCAGACAATTAGGCATGCAATGCAAGAGGGTTATACAGAACTGTTGCTACACATACACACATTAGTTTCAGACGACTTCTAAGGGCAAAAGGGTTATTCAGAATTGTTGCTACACATACATACTCTACTTTCTGACCACATTCAGTAGTATTAAATTTAGATTGCAAAGGCGCGCATGGATAGCTCAACTGGTCATAAGGGTGAAGTTTGGAAAGAATGACCAGAGATTGAGTCTCACCAGTGACAGTGTGAGAGTAACCTCTCAAAGTGAGGGGCTCTTTGTGCATAGTAAGCAAATGTCTCGCCTATGTGGTTCAGTTGAGCTATCATGATTTACATCCTCCCAGATGTTCCTCAGGCGGGGTGTGGGGGGATGATGGAGAATAGGATAGAAAAAAAACATAGATGTTACAAAATTGAATTATAATGTCCACAATAAATATAATATTTATAACACTCCCCTTTGATTTTATTTGACCTCTTACCTCGTTAAAAACTCTATAGGAAAACCTAGACAAGAAAAGAGTACAAGATATATAGATAATTATTTAAATATATTAATGTCTCGTTAAACCTCATTAGAAAAATCACGTGGGAAAAAAATCCTAGCTAAGGAAAATAGTACATGATATTTGTGAAATCATATGTTGCACCGGTTGCTTAAAAACCTTACTAAGAAAATCCTATCAAAAAAAATTAGTTAATGGAAAAAGAATAGGTTAATAATTTGGGATGAGGCACCGATAATGCATAAACATTACTTTGAAGCGTTAGATATAACAATGAGAAACTTATTATGTTTTGTTAATCCAACAAGTACAAATCAGACATTTGGTGGGAAAATTGTTGTTTTGGGTGGTGATTTTAGGCAAATATTGCATGTAGTTCCGAAAGGCTCAAGACGTACAAGATATCGTTGCTGCTATCATAAATACTTTTTAATTATTTGTGGGACAATTGCAGGGTTTTAAAATTGAGAAAGAACCTCTATTTGAATAGTATGATGTTGGCGTTGAATTAGAACAACTTGAAGATTTTGTATTTGTTGGATTATGGCCCTGTTTGGTAAAAAATTGGCTTATAGGCCAATTTTGGCTTATTTAACCACTATTAATTGTTTGATTTAGTTAAAATATCAATATAGATGTTTGGTTAATTAGCTTTTTGCAACTCTAAAAGGCTAAAATTCAAAATGCTACTCCAAGCAACTTTTTCAATTAGCTTTTTGAGAAAAGAAATTATACCAAACAGCTATCACCTAATAGCTAATTTACCAAACACTTTTCTACAATCAGCTAATGTTATCAACTATTTATACCCTCTAATTAACACAATCAGCTAACAACTAACAGCTATCAGCTAACAGCCATTTTACCAAACAGGGCCTATATGTAGCCGCATCTAGAATGAGCAATCTTAAATGTCTCAAAATTTTGATTTGTAATGAGTTAGATAATAGTTGTAATTCAACCACTAATTTAGTTTACAAAGAGGTCTTTAATAATTTGTAATTTAAAATATTTTCTCATTCTATATCACTAACACTTATTACTTTTTAAGTATGTTTAAATCCCAAATTTAAAATCCTACAGAAATTATAATATCCACATAAAAAATAATTATTTTACAATATAATACAACAAACATAAGTTCATTAATTCTAAAATTTATTATCGTACATCGGCACGACTAAGTTACTAGTTAAGATAATATCAATAATGTCAGTATAGGTTAGTAAGTTATATATGTTTGCCTTCTTGAATAATGAGAAAAAAGAGGGGAAAAAAAAAACCTTTGTACGTATTATCATAAGCTATGATTGTGATGTGCAAACTTTAAATTATTTATAAGAGGAATAAGGTTCAAATTGGCCACTGAACGTAATTTGAAAATGTAATTAGGTTATTGAATGAAAAAAAAGGCGTAATTAAACTACTGAACATTTCAAAAATGTGCAATTAGGCCACTGAACACTCCAAATGTATGCAATTTCACCGGATAACAGGTTATCATCAATTCTAGCAGGTTACCTGTTTACGTGGCAGTTGAGTTGACATTTTTAATAATTTTTAAATTTTTAAATAATTTTTAATAAATTTTAATAATAAATAAAAAAATTGAAAAAAAAAATTAAATAAATAAAAAAACGACGGGGTGGCCGGCGGCCAATTTTATTTTTTAAAATTTATTATTAAAAATCATTAAAAATGCCGACTCAACTTCCACGTAAGCAGGTAACCTGTTAAAATTGATGGTAATCTGCTATCAGGTGAAATTGCATACATTTGGAGTGTTCAGTAGCCTAATTGCACTTTTTAGATTACGTTCAGTGGCCAATTTGAACCTTATTCCTTTATAAAATATTTACTCTTATATATTTAATTAAGAAATACATACTATAATTACATGTATTTAGATAAAGTCGGGTCGGAGTGTGGGGGTCCTTAGGGTTGGGGTTCAGCCTTTAGAAGAATGTATTTAGATAAAGTTAATGCAGATTAGTTACGTTGTAATTATATATATTGTTGTTGTATGTATGTTATAGTTTATTAGTTTATGCCCCCGGGCCGGGGTAGCAGTAGGTGGTGGAAGCTAGGACAGCCATATTTGAACTGGAAAATGAAGCCAATTAAGGTTTAAGAGCAAAACTTTAATAAATGAATTAATAGTGAAGTGGAAAGAGTGAGGAGGATTCAGAATTGGTTAAAGAAGTCCACTGCACAATAAAGTGGCTGCATGGCTGTGGAGCACCAAAAATGCTTTCATTGAGAGTCGAACTCAAGACCTCCCGCTTACTAAACGGGTGCTCTAACCAACTGAGCTATGAAAGCTTTGCTTTCTATTTTCTAACATTATATTCTAATTAGTAATAAGGCTATAATTAATTTTTAGATTTTTAATAAGATATTAGGAATGCTTTATTGATGCCTCCATTTTTGATCTCCAATTGTCTCAAATATGGTTTTTTTTAGTCATTTAGGTTAGTACTTTAATTTATAGTGAAATTAGAACGAATTGATAACATCAATTTTTAAAAAAACAAAAGTTTGAACAAATATAAGAATATATGATGATGGAAACAAGCATGACCTTGGCCTATAGAATAAATGTGAAATTGCATTCCAATTGAGTACCATATATAATAATTAGGAAAGGAAGTTCATAGGCATAGATAATTAACTCGATTATACATGTGTGCCTTAAAAGAAGGGTTGTTCTTGATCAGCAATAATGCACTTGAAATACCTTTTGTCTTAATCGTAATAAATTCATGTTTGCACCAATCAAATTTGGTTTTTGTTCATTTGAGATAAAACTAATTATCCTAACCATTTTTTTAAATTACAAAATGCATATTATTTTAATTTAAATATAGTTAAGTTTGGTTACATTTTTTTCTTGAATGCTACTGGCTCTATATATTACATTATAGTATATAGACATAGAGTCAACAACGCCTCCACTAAAGCTCGATCTCATGACTTTCCATATGAGAGAAGTCACTACATGCCATCAAGAGTGCGATGGAGATTAAACATTATAGAAGCCCTTTGCATGTTATAGCAAGACTTGGCAATATAATAAAAATCATTTTGTTTTTATTTTATTTTATTTTATTTATATAGGTATGTATCAATCTAATCTCCTATTGACGAGTCATCACATACACTCTCGTGACATCTGCAAACATATTTAACATTGGACTTTCTAACAATACCCAATCATTCAACTCCAGCTAAATTGTAATACACCACCATCTATCAAACCCCTTTCACTCAAGCAAATTGAAAACCCTTAAAAATTGTCCATGCATGCATCTTCCTCTTCTGCCTGCAAAACCCAACATCATATGTAAACATTGTTAAGTAATATTCTTTTGAATCATATACATAGCAACCCCCATAGCCAACCTTAGCTTGGACATAGACTTTCTAGAGCAATCATCCACAATTAGATTCGGTACGTCTAATTATAATTTTATTTAGATGTACCCAAAAATTGTGTAATCTAAATATATATACTTAGTTAGTCCTCAAACCAAACTCTTAAACTAAATGTAAAATGTTAGAGAAATATTATACAAATTCATGATTTTCCTATGTGCTATATAGTTCAAAGCATTGTACGTGCTTCTCTTCAAAAAGGGGGAAAAAAAACATTATATTTGAAGTATGTATGTCTTTGATTATTAATATGAGATCGCATCAAGTATATTTATTTATTTTTTAAAGAAAATGGTAATTGGAGATGGCATAGTGTCAACTATTGATGTATATGCTAACTATATAGATGTAGTGTGCTGGCATCACAATTACCATTGGCTTAGATTTTTTGAGTTGAAAATTAATGTTTTAAAAAGTATAGAATAGATACTACATTGTAAAGAATAATCAACATTTCAAAAAAAAAAAAAAAAAAAAAAAAAAAAAACTATTGGCCTGGTGTATATGCTCTTATTTTTTGGGTCTTTATTCACCTAATCAAATGAATAATATAATTCAAAGTCAAGTCTTTTTTTTTCGATCATGTGACCACCCATTTGAAATAGTAATAGAGGTATCATCATACTATATAGTAGTTGGGCAGCTCTTTAGGGGCAAATTATGACGTGCGACCATGGTGTGCACAGTTGCAAAACGACGTCGTTTTGATTAAAAACAACGTCGTCCGACTTTTAAAAAAATTATTTTCGATTGCCGTTAACGGCGTTATGCTATCCAGAATTTGAACTATATATCCAGAATTAATGAACTATATATCC